AATCTGCGGAATGTGCATTTATTGGGCTCCCGAGTGTAATGAATTTAATTATCTTCCTAATCATTTGTGCACATCTTGCCAAGTCCGTCCTGTTTCAATATTTTAGTTTAATGTAATCTTCAACAGCAATTTTCACTTATGTGATCCCTTTCACAATGGGATATTGTATCAAGGAAGTTTACAAAGACTGGAGGGGAGTTTGAGGTGCAAAGGTGAGTGGGAAAAAAAGGGCTGGTTTCACACGCAGACAAAGTAAACGGCCTTTAGACAGGATTTTGAAGGTAGAGAGGGAGGGGGCATAGTGGAGTGGTGCAGTGGAGGGCTGTTGGAAGCGTTTCAGAGAATGGGGATAAAATGTCTGAAAAATCAATCTCTGATGATGGGGCAAAGTGAGGACCATGAGGCAGGCCAAAGTTGGTGGAATGGATGGAGTGACCGGGTACTTTGGGTCATAGATTACAGAGGTAGAGTGGGACAAGACGATGGAAACATTTGAAAGTAATCATGATAATATTAAAGGCAATCGCTGGAGGGGAAATCGCTAGGGAACCAGTGGAGCTGGGCGAGTATGGTGGTGATGGGGGTCTTGGAGCCAAGCGCTGGAGAGGATGTGATTCTTCTCTCTGGTAGAGGGATCCAAAAGCAAGGTGAGGCAAGAGCATTAAGGATATGCAGAAATCCCATGATCTAATAAAGTATTGCAGCTGGCAAAGAAGGAAGTGGTGTCCACATTGACCCAATGACATGGAAGTAAGCCTACTTTTTGTGCGAGAAACTAAATTCGCCACCTTCTAAGTCATCAGATCTCTGCCAATGTCATGTCCTGTGGCACTGCACAGAGCAGCACAAGAACAGCCAGTGTGAGGAAGCGAGTGTAGCCAACAAGCACATCTGCAGTGAATAGGGTTCACAATGAACAACATTACTATTAAATTTGCGCTGTACAGTGACGCATTATAACAGTATTCATGCTACAGTTACTATGATGTAATTCTATGAAATGGTGAAACCAAAGTGAAAATCTGAAATGACTGCAATAAATGTTTATATTAAAAAGCCCGAGAAGTCAACTGTCTAGTCATTCATTTTAACGTATAATAGAGAACATTTCCAAGTGCTTCTCTAGTATGTGAGAGTCAAATGGGGTCAATTGATTCCCTTGCAATCTTGGCACTGCAGATGTTGCTTTGGGCTAAGTGGTATTTGTAAATTTAGGAAATTTGTCCCTGTGCACTTATAAATAATTAATCTGATTTTGAAAGCATCCAGGAACATGACATTACGGATGCAGAATTAAATTATATTTTAATTACTGTATCTGTTATGAAATAACTTTTTTTTACAAAACCGAAATTGTATTATTCATAAAGCACCCAGGGACAACATTGTAAAACTGTATCAAACAGTGCAGAATAGCCATTAGTGCACTTCAGAAAATTTGCCAAATGGAGCATATCAAGTAGAATAACTCTCAGAATGTCTATATCCAAGAAAAAGAACACATTCCCAACATTTGGTATTTATCCTAAGCTAACATCTCACATTCCAACTTGAGGCCAACCTCTCACTGAGATGAATAATTCCTGCAATTCCTTCCCACAACGCAGCAAAAAAATAACGCAGGGTCACATGCATGGAGGTGGTGGGTGAGTGCTGTTAAATGCAAGTTTCTTTCCTAATGAATTATTCATTTTCATTAAAAATGAAAATATCAGGGCAGCCCTGTTGATGTGATGGACAGAGCTACAGTTTATAGATCGGGAGCTCATTGGTTCAAGTCCCAATCCATGCTTAGTTTGCTGGTCCCAGCTACTGCTGCATGCGGAGGCTAAACTGGCCCCGGCCTTTCCAGGGTTCCGGAGGGTACAATTAGCCAGGATTAATGGTCTGCATCCCTCTTCAGAACCCTCTACTGGTGCAACTTGTGTACAGAAGTCAGGCTTGGCTGTGATTTTCTCTGCATTCAAGTGGCCGGACAACACTCACTGATAAGACTCACCTATGAAGTTTGTGGAGGGAAACCATTGCCTGTGGAACCACACCCCAGCGAGAGGAGGCAGTGGATCAAGACTAGAGGTCTCAATGAAAGAAAATATCTAAAGGATACAAAATATCATAATGAGGATTGTCATCCCTCCTCATAGCATAGGTGGACCTGGATGGTTCCATTCAGCCCTTCATTATTTCAAGGTCAACCAAATAAAAACTATATCTAACCCTTAGATCTAACCATTAAAAACTATATCGAACCCTGGGAGGGGGAGTTGGAGAAGGAAGAGGTATATAGGCGAAGAAATCCCTGACCCTAAATTAGCTCCAAACAGATGAGGCAAGGCAGGTGAGGACGACAAAACACCAGGTTGAACATGAAAGGTGGACATATTCTCAACCCTGCAAGCCAAAGCCCAACTGATGCAGAATTATCAAAAATGTCCAGTATGCATCACCTCTTACCTCTCCAGATTATCTTCAATGTTATATTGTTTTCACAATTTCTATTTTTGGATCTATTTTCTTGGTTCTTTCCATCCAGCAAGCTTACTGAACCCAGTGTTGTGACAACAACAACAAAATTATATTTGTAAAGTGCTGTTCACGTCAGGAGGACGTCCCAAGGCATTGACAATCAATGTTTCAGATCTGAGCTGGGGTCAGGATCGGGGAGGGTTGAGGCAGGGCTGAAGGAGGATGATTGAAGGCACAGTCAAAGAGGAGTGTCGTGAGATGAGTCTTGAAGGAGGCAAGGGAGGCGGAGGGACTGCAGGTTGGAGTTCCAGAGGGTGGGGGCAGAGTGGCTGAAGGCCCACTCACCAATGGTGGGGCAGGCGAGGCGGGCAGGGGGGTGGGGCGGGGTGAAGCAGGCTGGAGCCTGCTGAGCGGAGGGAACGGGCAGGATGGTACGGGATTAGGAGGCTGCAGAGGTCGGGAGACCAAGGCCATGGAGGGCTTTGAAAGTGAGGACCAGGATCTTGAACTGTATCCTCTGTGTGATGGGAAGCCAGTGGAGTCGGGCAAGGATGGGGGTTTAAAAGGTCAAAGAGCCTGGTGCTGGAGAGGACGCAGGCTGCAGAGTTCTGGATGATATGCAGCCTATCAAGGACTGAGTTGGGGAGGCCGACAAGCAGGGAATTTGCATAGTCAAGCCTGGATGTTATGAATGCGTGTATGAGGGTCTTGGCAGCCTGAGGTGTGAGACAGTGGCAGAGCTGAGCAATGTTGCAGAGGTGGAGGAAGGCAGAGATGGTCATTGGATGGATATAGGGTAGAAAAGATAGTTGAGGGTCAAACAAAACGCCAAGGTTCTGGACTGGCTCGGTGAGGTGGAATGTGCATCCTTGGATGGTGATCCTGTCAGTGTATAAAGCGTGGAGGCACTGACGTGAGCCAACCAGGAGGGCCTTGGTGTTGTTGACGTTCACCTGTAGAAAGTTAGCTCTCATCCAGGACTTGATGTCTGACAAACATGGATGGCCACAATGAACCCAACCTAATCTAAGCAAATTGTTCAAATCCTTGTGAACTATTGAGTAATTACAAACAACTGGAGGATACATTGGCTGATGCCCCACTGGAGTAAAAGTTGTGTTACTTTCCTAAATTGACAGATTTGAAAAAAAACAGACCTTTTCATCAGATTATTTTTGTAAAGCATTTTTGCCCATCCTGTTGATGTTTAGACACACACTGCAAAATCTCAATCCCAGCCAGTCTGTATAAATTACTCCCTGCATAAGGGTGGGGGGGAAGAGAGTGGAACAATAAAAGTACATGTCCATCGATTCTAGCAGTGCTGTCAATAGCAAGGGCAAGATTGTTTATTGTACAAATATGGTACCATACATATTTAAGCACTGCATATTCACTTATCTGCTTTCTAATAATCGGATGCTACCATCGTAAACTAGTAAGAAAAGTTGTCTTATGAAATCGATATTGTGGTTCGTTAAAGCACAACGAACATAGAAGTTACAATTTGAATTGGAAAAAAACCATTAAAACGTTGTGTTATGAAATGGATATGGTGGTTCCTTAAAGCACAACAAACGGAATTTACAATTTGGGTTGGAAAAGAGCCATCATTGTTCTTCTAGCCCAGGGGTCTGCAACTGGTCAATTGACACTAGGTGGCTTCTCACATATGCTCAATAAAAACAAGAGGCAGGAGTGTTATTTGCTGTGGTTTTAAAGTTTATATTTTTATTTCCAGATGCACAAAATACTTTGTTCATCTGGCTTTGGTTTCAGTTTGACTCAACAACAATTACTCCATTTGATGCAGTTCTATTGCTCTTTCCTGTTGTCTTTTTGATCGTGCGCGACAACTTGCACTGATTGACAGGTTTGAGACCCCTGATCTAGCCTGTCACATTTTCCAAATACCATCTCTCCCCATCTCACATTACCCCCCCCACACCTCCTCAACTATACAGATCTATTTAAATTTGCCTTTAGGTAAAACTTTCTTGTGGTCAATTATGCTTTCAACCAACTCTGCGTTGGCAAACCCTACGATCAAATTATGCAAAAAAAGGAACATTAGATCCAGGTGACAACACTATCCAAGACAGCATTCCAAAGCAGGCCAAATGGTGTATGAAGCTTTTAGATTGGAACAGAATTCTGCAGTGCACCTGGCGTAAATCTTGTATTCCTGGCCAATGCCTGGATAGGTTTGGCTTCAGCGGCAGGAACACTATCATTGGATAGTGCACAATAAAGAACAGAGCATCCAGCTGAATTTCTTGTGTTTCATTCAAAAGGCACAGGCAAAACACAGCGCTTGTGAGGCATTTGTTTTAGTGCCAGGTCCAAATAAGTACCTCAAAAGGTAATGTAAACCTTCAATGCTTAGCAAGAAATTAATCATAATTTTAAAAATATTTTAAATAAAAGTGTGAAAGAAAATGGCTAATTTTTTGACACTGCAGTGGCATATGTGAGAAGCAACAAAATGTGATTTCAATTTTTATACTTTTTTGACGAATTCCAGCAGTACTTACATATTGTGATGTGGACTGTGAGTTGGAGATAGACCTACAGAGGAAAAGTAGAAAAAAAGGTCAGATTTAAATATTTGACAAAATATACAATACTTTTGGTCAGCCGGGTATCATGCGGAAACCCATCCAAACCAAACTGAGAATTCCATGCATCCCACCCACACATGGAAATCCCAGAAATAGGTTGTTGGAATGGAATGCGCACTCTCTCCCCGGAGGGATGCATCCTGATTACCTAAATCCGGAAATTATTAGGTGCAGGTTAGCAAGAGCCAAGGTTTGGGGATCCCAGAGTTCGTCTTCCCGTTCTTCCCACACCAAATTTCTGGGACACATTTCACCTCCCTAATGCAATGCAGTTCAGAGGAAGAAATAAGTATCCGGCCAGACAATCCTTTTACACTTACCAGGAGATTTCAGAATTTTCTACAGGATTCACTCAATAGGTTATAATGTGGTATAATAGGGCCAGAATAAAACTCTAATTTGTGTTCCCTGTGTGCAAGGTTTTCAACAGGTGCATCACTTGCCGTTTAAGGTATTCTGGAGTCCAAAGCTATTTGAGCAATGGCTGTGTAGTTGGTTTGAATTTCAATCCCAAGGGAAAAAACACTTGCATTTTCATTGCTAGTTCAAACATTGGTGACAACAGTCTTAGGCAAAGCCATAACTTGTTGCCAGTTTTTTATTCTGCTCTTTATTTTTAGTAGCTACTGGGCAGACAATTCTTTCTCCTAGTTTCTTGCCGCTCTGGCTTCTGTAATAAAGGCTACACTATCTACCTCAGACCTGCACAATTGTAGCTGAGGAGGCTGGTACAAAATACTGACCACAAGAGGTTTGGATGAAGAAGATCCTTGGCTTGGGACATTTCATCTCATCTTTCCAGATTATCCTACCAACTCTCCCATCACTGCATCAAGCTGCTTTGTTTTGAAGAAGTTCAGCATCCTGAACTCAACCACCCTTCCTCATAACCTGTTCCAGTCACTAATTACCCTCTGGGTAAAGACAAAGGTCTTGGTGTCCCTCCTAAAATTGCCCAACTGATATAGTAAAACTGTTTTGATGTTAATGCCTGCACATGCTTACAGATTTACAACCCAATGCAACTTGAGTTCTGCAGATACAAATATTAAAAAGTCTAACTTCTTCAAAACACGTACCAAGTTTTACATAGAGCAGGCCGGTAGAAGTGATGGTTTTGTTGCCGTTTGACGCGACGCACTGGTAGTATCCTGTGTCAGTTGTGTCCAGATCTTGAATACGCAGTCGAGAACCATACTCTGTTTTCCTTATTGTGATCCGCTTTGCCTCCGGAACAACGGGAGCGTCATTTTTTAGCCATCTGATGCTGGGCGGTGGGTTTCCTGCAACCTTGCAATGCAAAGTGGCCGTCTGGCCCTGAACTATAGTGATGTTGTTGACTGGTGCCAGAAAGGTCAGAAAGTAACCTAGAGGTGCAAGGTCAGAAATGGTTAGTCAGGAACACATTGGCAGTTTATACAGTTTTCCACTGATGATGCACACATATTGTAGTAATCAATATTCACCCATTTTGACCTAATGCAGTATAATCTTCACTTTATTGCTTGAATTTTTTAAAATTAAACGATTCCCATCAATGGGACAACTGTACTTTTACTGTATAAAAACAATCACTGCAAAAACACTGCAGTAGCAAGGAATAAAACATTCTCCAACTGGAACCCTGCAGTAATCTTGAGATGATTGTTTGAAACAGCAAGAATATGCAGCGCAGTGTTTATAACATACAATGAAGAGGAACAAAATAAAAAAAAGGATTTCAAATGACCAACGACAAGTATGCATTTAAAATCAACAGCACCTCACCAAAGGCACCAGCATTGTAATAAATGATCCTGGAAGGTGTTATTCCCAAAAGATAGAATGAGGAGATACCAAAAACATGAGCGTAGGCAGTGGCCTTGATCCATTCTGTCAAACATACTGGAAACCTGCCAAAAGAAACTAGGAGCAAGGGAGAATGACTGACGAACTGATGGGAAAATGGGATGCGGTGGGAAACAGTAGTCGATGGAACATAAATCTGGGATCTTACCCAAAGGGATGGTAGGTCCTGATTTTGAATTTTGCCTATTGGAATTGATTGGTCTGGAAAATACAGTAATCGAATGGACTGACTGCTCACCAGCAACTCAAATCAACCCCAAGATTGAAACCTTATTCTTTTGGTATGTAATTCTTGAGATTTCAAAGCAGTGAACGTGCTATGGGGGCAGGATGTTCCAAACCATCCCTGGAGTACAAGTTGTGGCACTGAAGCACCAAAATCTAGGATTTTCAAGAAACGATCAGTGCAATAAAAAAAAGCAATAGAGCTTGCACTGATCCAGAAACAAACAAACACAGTATCCATTGCACTATGAAATTCCAGGTGTAGAGTGCCAATCTGTTTTTCTGTTTTTCCACAGCATTATGGAGGAAAGTTCACAAGAACTAGGCAGGAAAACTCATGTTCACAGAGTGGTGTGGTGGGGAGTGGGGGTTGGGGGAGCTACGCTCATGTTTTGCCACCTTATAATGCAAACAACAGCAACCTTGGATTATATAGCGCCCTCCACGCCGGACGGCCTCTCAGAGCGCTTTAACAATCCTCTCCACAGTGGAGGCTTTAAAATTCTATTGTGAGGCCAGCGAAGATGGATCACTGAATACAGAAAGATTAAGCACGGCCACTTAAGTTATTTAATGAATTTTTTATTGGTTTTGTATAAAATTAACTAAACAAATGACAGTAGACGAACTTTAAAAAAATACAAGCCTAAGGGATAGTTGGGCTCAACATCAGAATAGTCTGATCGATCACAGGTCACAAACCCATGGACAGAAGGTCTGTACAGGATGTGCTTCAGCAGTAGCCACAGCCACTGTAAATATTGTTATTTCCCATCCTCTTTTCTTGGCTTCTGGATATGGATTAGAGTTGTTTATAGACTTTTTCTTAGAACCATGGAAAATCAATGGCACAGAAAGCGCCCATTTGGCCAGCTCCTTTAAGAGCAATCCTTTCAGGCCCATTTTCCTGCCCTTTCCCCATACCTGAAAAGAACCTTACTGGCATTATTCTGAGTCCTTTTGGCATCATTGCTTACTTGCTTGTTTTATGGATGGGAATGGCTCCTGTTATGTTTAGAATGTACATTTAGTATTCATCAAATGTGCGTTCATAAACCCAACATTTTTCATAGAATATTTAGCATAGAACATAAACTTAAACATAAGATTTAAATTCTACAAAAAAAATGGGGCCACCAGGTAAATACCAGACAAGTACTCTAACTGATTTCACAGTGAGGTGATAATTCCACTGAAATAATGATGGAGTATCACAAGGAAGAGAGGGAAGAAGAATATCTCCCAATCAACTCTTCCCTGGAAAAAAACATGCTATAATTATTCTCCAACGTCTTGAAAAGAAACAGCAAAGAATAAAACGCATGAAATGATGTGAACTGCGTTGTTCACCCAATTCTTGAATCTGATACAGAAAAGTCTAGACTACATTATAGTGCAGACTTGTGTTTTGGATCCATAAAATCCCACACTATAGCAATGCGTGATGGATGGTATGACGGAGCATGTACGCAGCTGGGTAGTTTGCTCCCTGAAATGCTGGCCTGGTCCCATGCTAAAAAAAAAGAGTCAATTCCTGGGTCACCAACTCACCATCTCTTCCTGTTTGCTGCACATGTGCACAGGAAGTGATGTTTGGTGACCGCGGGGAAGCGAGTGGGTGGTTTTGTGCATGAGCAGGGAATGGGATTCACAAATGCAGTTGAGTTATAACTGAATTCACAGTTATAAAGGGTGTTATAATGCATCTGCTCTGTAGTTATTACTCAATCTCTCTCCTAGTGCAGATTAGAATCCTATCTTCCCAATCAGCCTTTGTAAAATCTTTGAGACGTTCTCCCTGCATGTTGTTGTTGTTGATCATAAAATCTTGGTAACCAGGTGGGAGGGATCACTCAGCATAATGCTGTACCCAGACCATATTGTTTTTTGATCAATGGATTTCAGCTGTTAATGCTCAGCATTTTTCTGACATCATTCACCAAAGCTCGATATTGCTTTGCCCCCAGATAGTGAGAAGGCTTTTGAGCAAGAATAACAACACTTTATGTGAAATTGCACATCTGCCTTGTACAGGGAACCTTTAACAATATATATTGTGATGATAGTGTTATCTCTCAGCCCTTTCAACTATTTAGACTATTTCAACTTGGAAGACACATCCATTATTTTCCATTATTATTGATCCTGGCAGTTAAACCCAACTGAAGTGATGAAAGGTCACAAGAATGTGAAAGTCAACCAGAACTGAAGTAATATTGAAGAAGAAAATATAAAGCAGGTCACAACAATGGGGTTGAAAATGAAACATTCACAAACTGGACGTCCATGTAATAATCACGGACTCTTATTTTCACTTGAAATTGTATAATTCATCACCAACTTTTTTTATTTATAAAAGTGATCCACCTCCGTTTGACTAACCATGTCCCCTGTCCTGTCTGTACCACCATCATTGGTCGAGCCTTGAGTATTACATGACTGTGGAGTCGTGTAACTTAGTGGTTAGAGTACTTGCCTCGCAAGTGATAGGACCTGGATTTGATTCCGGGACAAGGTGAAACGTTGGCCAAGTTTCCTTACTCCAAACGCCTCTGTTTACCTAGCACTAAGTAGGAACCTGGCTGTTTGCCAATTTGCGGATCACTTTTTCAGGGGTAATATTCCCTTAAAAAAATATTTTTTTAAAATTGGGTCACTCAATCCACGACCGATGGTGGGACACTGCTGTACGCAATTCACTGTCAAGTGTCACCCACAAAATATAGGCAATTCACTTTACAGTGTATCCTGTGAAGTAGTTTGAGATGCCTCGAAGATGCGATAAGGTGCTATATCAAAAATGTAAGGTCATTTCGTCCCCAACCTCTGGAACACCCTGCTTCTATTCCACCACCTGTTCCCCACTCTATTTGACTTTAAATCCCATCTTAATACCTACAGTCACCTCCCCACCCCCCTCCTTTGCTCAACATCTGATCCAGTCATTGTCACGCACTACAAGGCGTTACCCTACTTGAAGGATGCTATACAAATGCTGTCACTCTTCTTCCTCCTCCCCCTTCCTTTTCTTTCTCTCCAACACTAACGTGGAAAGAATGTAGCATACTTGTGTTGGAAACAAGCAGCTGAGAGAATGAATAGCACGGATCAAAAGGGCAAGACACATGTGTGCCTTTGAGGTCCATTTAATCAATCATTAGATTACAGATGATTTCTACCAGGGGCAAAACCGACTGCTGACCCACAAAAGACCACATTTGGGTATTCAAGTGAAGGAGGAGATAAGCAATTAACCATCGTATGTCAGATTCCTTAAAACATACAAGAATTCAACTTATTTTAAATGATCTGCTGTACATACAAATTAACATTTTAATGCATTTTATCAACTAATTTTAAATTGCACAAAAAAGGATGAATTATAATACTGTTCGCCAAATTTTCCTTTTAAAGTCTGAAACCTCTCTTTTTGACAGGGCTTTTGGTCAAGTTTCCTCCCCTCGTTCCTCAGTAAACCCAACCTCAGGCTCACCAGTCGACTCTGTGAAGCGCTTTGAGATGTCCTCCCAGCATGAAAGGTGCTGGATAAAGGTAAAATTGTTCAAACATAATTTTGATTTTCACATTTTAGCCTCATTGTTTGTCACCTCCCACCTCAACAACTCAAATGCCCTCTTCACCAGTCTCCCCAGCTGCACTGTCCACAAACTCCAATTAATCCCAAACTCCACAGCCTTCATACTTACTCGTACTAAATTGCGTATCCCTATCACACTGATTCCAGCCGAGCTCCACTGGTTCCTGGTCTGTCACCTCCCTACCTCTCCGACCTGCTTACTCCCCAACCCGCTACCCGTTGCCCCCGCTCAACTGGCTCAGGCTTCCAGCTTGTCCATCGGTAGTGGCGCTTTCAGCCACTGCACCCCAAAACTCTGGAGCTCTCTCCCTCAATCCCTCGCCTTGCCCCTTCGTTCGCCATCTTCATTGCTTCTGAAGACTTTTCTCTTTGACCTGCTTATGGTCACCTCCCCCCTCTCCCTGGTTCGGCGTCATGCTCTACCACTGTCAAGCGTTCTGGGACCCTATCTTGTATGAAGGTCACTTTATAAATGTCGTTGTTAGAATGCTGGAAGAAAAGAGATTTCCCTTTCCACAGTACAAGTTGATTTGTTTCAAGCTGTAACTGTATCATAATTATATACAGTATATGCATTATTTACTTCTTACAAACAACAGGAGATTAGCACAAGCCGCCACCTCAAACAAGAACATAACCAAAGCAAATGTTTACAAGAATGATCCCATCAAGTCAGCCAACTTTGCAAAGCACGAC